CTGGTGAGCCATATGTACCCACAGGTAACTTGCTTATTAAGTCTGTGTGCTGGAAATAAGCCTCCTCTACCACATACTGTCCAGGTTCTGCACGATGCCATTTCTTGCTGGCAGGTGACTCCTGTAAATTTCCAGTTCTGAGGAATATGGCTGTTGTAGCTGGATTTTCTCATATGACAGCCATTTGCATTTATACATAAGGCTGTTCTGTCTTATTAGTTGTCACTTAGACTTGTATGGAGTATTATGAGAGGTCTGCAGGTGTGATACTGATATAGGGGCTGGGTAACACTGCACGTTCTGGCCTGTTAGACAAGGGCATACACTTGACAGAGAAGCTAACAGTGCTCTTGGTCATACTTGGATATCAAAACTTACTGGAAGAGACAGAAGTTTATGTACTAATAGCTGGTAGCTCTACATTTCTGGAAAGTGGTGTGGTTTTCTGTAGCTTGTTCTGCATTTGTATAAAATATGCTGTTGTATATTTTCTGACACTTCATCACAACTTAGATTTTTTTTTGGAACAAGCCAGGTAACAATTCCATTTGGTATCTTATGGTTCTGTTCAGGTTAGGTGGCATTCATTGTTGGAATAGTTGATGATTATATTATTTTTCAGTGAAATATAGGTGCTCTGCTGAACTGTGAGAACACGTGTGCAAACATTCAAAACCCTTAGTAAAACTTAGCATAAATATTAAAGGACACTTAATTTTTTCTTTCAAAAGCTTGTGATTTTAAGAGAGGTAAGATTTATAGTGGTCTGTTAAATACATCCAAGTATTCAAGTAATATTGAGCAGTGGGTATTACTGTGTTAACTCTTTAGTCATATTTGGCCTAGTGTTCTGCTGTGACACATCTTGAACATTGGCAGTGACATTCAGTTTACTGCTTTCTGAGAGCAGCTGCTGAAATTTAGTTACTTTAGGAGGAACTTCCAAAACTCATGCTCCAAGAGTACGGTCCATTCATCACTGCTGTTGGTTCAGCCTGACTTCAAGCTGTGAAAATTATATAAATGTCCTGACTGCTATCACTTGTGATGTCAAGGAGCACATGGGTATAGATAACTAAATATTAACTACTTAACTTTCATCTGAAGTTGCCCAGAGCAGAATCATTAAACTGCAAATCATGAAACATCACTTACAAATTTTATTCTGGTGGTTACATCATCAGAATTTTCTTATGGTGTACATGATAAAATATCAGCAGAGTTAATTTATGAGAGAAGAGCATGTAAGGTGACTTCAAACTAGACCATAACAAAAGCAGGGTAAGGCAAAGGAATCTGGTTTTTGTTCTCTTTATTAAATTTGGTTTTACTTCATGCAGATCTTCCACCTGGGTACAGCTGACTCTGGTGTCATTCAGGTGTTTGTGCCTTGTCCCTCAGAACTCCTGGGTGACCAGGAGATGTCCTTTCTTTGAGCCAGGGCATGCCCACTCGCTCACTCCCTTGGGCTTGGAGCTTCTCATATTTTCATATCTCATCCATTTCCTGCTTAACAGGAGAAGCTCTGGGCTTATATCGCCGTGGCTTTTCAATATCCCCTTAAAATCATTGCAAGGAGAAGCTTCCTTCTGGGCTCTGGCAGGTCCTTCACTGTAGTGCTGCCAGTGCTTTTGAAGCCCTGCTGGTGTCCTGCTAGCCGACCTGGAAATTGCTTCCTTTTGATGATCTGTAGCAGAGCTTTTAACCTCCTCTTAGGAGGTGATTTCCTGCTTGCTTGCAGCGTTGAGTCTGGGAGCAGGGAACAAACAGGCAGGCAGCTTGAGTACTTCAGATTTTCCCCCCAAATTGCAGGGAGCAGGAAAATGCAAGGCTGTTATGTTTGGTGGGATCTAAAAATAGCTATAGTTGACTCCACCCCTCTATGAATTGCTTCCAGGAACATACTGAGCTGCTGAGCTATTGAATGTGAAGTGTATTTAATAGAGGTGCAGCCTATTTCCTACCATCTTTCAATTTCTTCCTGTGCCTTTAAGTGGTTTAATTTGGTTTTTTTTTTTTGCATGCACTTTTCTGAACTAAGCCTTTCATTTTGATGTGAAATGATTTAATGTGGGATGAAATTCTGTTTCAGAGAAATCCAAACAATTTGACTTACATGATTACATCTTCCAGCACTCAGAACAGTTGTATTTAATAATGGAAAAGTCAATAACCTCACAAGTGTATTGGCAAAGTAATTCTGCTTTCTTAGAGGACTTTGTTTTGATCATGCCTTTCTCCTGAACCTTGAGAATTGTCTTAAAAGCATTGCTTGAACGTTGCCACAACTGATTTTACAACACTCAACATCTGTCATGGTTAAAATGGCTGACCAGCTATTAGCATTTAACAGCTTTTATGTGATATATGAGCTGTCCTACTGGTTAGGTAGCAATGATATCAGTAAACTGTTAACTTGTACATGAAGGTACACGGAACTGTGAGCTTTCCATCTGAAAGGGCCTGTGAGTCAGAAGGGCTAATTTGCACTTCTATGACACCTATTTTAGCAGTCAGTGCATTTCTTGAAGTTTGAAGGCTGTAGACTAGTAAAGAAGAAAGCTCCTTCAGGAAAAAGGATCTGTAGTATATTCTGAGATTTAATCATGTCACTCTGTAAGCTCCTGTAGGAGCCCATTTGGCAATGATTTCTGCCTCTGATAAAAATATTCCTGCATTTCTCCTGCTAGACAACCAGTTTTGTATTTTCCAGAAGTCAGGACTTTGTTAGTTAGCATCTTGGTGTGTGTGCTTTTGTGGGAGAAATGGTGCAGGTTTCTTTTGTGCATCTTTGCCGAGGCACTGATGTTGATTGTTTGACCATTAATCAAATGGCTTTACAGTCTGCTATTGGTAGTGCATTTGCAACTTTCCTCTCACTTTTGTTAAATATTTCACACATACAAGTGGCAAATATTGAAATTTCACATGCACATTTTTCCAAGGATAATGTGAAATAAAATAGTATGTAATGTTAAATACAAATATATATGCATATGTAAATATATATAAGATCGTATATAATGTTAAAGCAAGACCGTTGTTAAAAAATGTGATTTTTAAAGTACATATTGTGGGGTTTCACAGTCTCTGACATTCTATGCTAGCCTCTCATTATCTTAGTACAATGATCTCAGTGAAGTTTTTTTTATGAGCCTAAATTTTGCATATTAATGTGCATTTCTTGGCTTTAACTTTTGCATCTCAATAAAAGTCTGAGATATATTCACCAAAAGTAATGGAGTAAATGTCTTAAAATTCAGTGATAGTCCTGTAACCTCATGATGACTCAACTTTTAGAGAATACACAGTATTATCAATACAGAGGCCACAGTTTTACTCAGGTGACAAGGCTTTTCCTTTTTGACCCTTCCCTTGTAGTAAGAAATTTGGTAGAGCATGGCATGTAGAAGCAGGGTGACACCTTTCTCTCTGTATAAACTCAAGGAATGATGTTTGTATTCCTGTAGGACTCCAGAAGGGTCTGTGCTGCTGAGGAGAGTCACTTAGATGTTATGATTTTGTTCTGCTATGAAAATAGGTTCATGTGTTTATTATGGAGCCTGACCATGTTAGTTGTAAAACAAATATGAGGTACAAGACCATTTTTTTTCAGAAGACTTCAAATTCCAAATGTTGTAATTATGCATACTGACTCCTGAAATGGGGAGAAAAGTTAAGTTCCAGCAAGTAGGAAAGAAAAAAAAAATAGCTGGGCAGATTTTCTTTAGTGTGACTGAGAATATCCAGGGTGGGTAGTTAAGTGTGTTGGTGCTGTTAGAACACTCCTGTCACAGCAAACCCCAACACAGCTCCCCTCTCTCTGAGCTGGGCTGAGTCACGCAGGCCACAAGAGATTGGCCTTTGTTTGGGGCAGCAGCTCAGCCCTGCAGCTGCTGCAGGGGCTGCCAGGCTGGGACCCGGGTACTGGCACTGAGACA